GGGGGGGTCAGAAGTATCGGAGAAGGCCCCGGTAATTCGTCCTGCCGAGCACGCGGGGGTCGCGGAGTAGGAGGCGAGGAGGAAGAGGAGGGGGAGGCGGGGCGAGGCGAGAAGCCTTCGCCAAAGGTATTTGGCCCACCAAGTTGAGAAACAAGTTTGGGGGCCCAATGGCTGGGCGGGGCGGGGCGGTCAGGCCGACGCCCGCCTGCCGGCGTGCGTGTAGCGGTATGAGAGCCGGCTCGGGTCAACCTGCTGCAGCGATGTGCCCCCGCTCCCGCCTCCCTCACTGCCCCCCTTCCCCCTTTCCCGCCGACGCCCCCAACTACTTTGCCCTGAGGGTGACTTTGCCGCGGTGCCACACCACTGCTCCACTGTCGCCATTTACCAGATTAGGTCTCTGCCTGCCGACCAAACAAACGGGAAACAAGTTTTCGCAGTGATTCTGGGCGTCGTTACTGCGGCTGTGTTGCTGTGTGGGAGGTGTGATACGGGGGACGAAGTCTGACTGAGCGTGCATTGTTCACTATAACCACGATATCTAAGATTTCATTCAGGCACACGGTACATTATTGTAAAATTGTGAAAAAAAGAAACAAAAACAACACTACGTACTTGCGTACAGCGTGTCTGTTGTACGTGCAGGGCCATAAAACTGATCGATTTGGAGATGAAGTCCCGTCACCTCACCTGCTGCATATGCCACGGCAGCACTACGCCTAACCGCGTCCGGCCCCGGCCGGGGCCCCGGCGCGATGCTCGTGGCATACACGGCGTGCCTCCGTAACGGCTCCGCGATGACAGTGGCGCATCAGAATGGGCCTCATTGCCCGTGAAGGTACGCCACACGTGACACACTGCCAAAAGGCACCTTGTGAAAAGAATAGTTGGGTCAGACGGGGGGTTTTAAGGTAGTTTCCCCTATATATTTCTCGTGAGAATTTTTAAACTCTAATTGAAAAACGTTTTCATTGTGTACGCGTCTATTCAGTGTGTAAAGTATATCAAAACTTGATAAAATCTGCCTAACAAAGAATTAGATACTTATGTGTACTTATTTTATACGCATGCGTCACTGCAGTTACGAACAAATTTGGAAAAATATTCGCAGCTTTGAACAATTAAGTCTCTAACTGCGTTTAAAATAAAAAGCGACATTAGCAAGCACACAGGCGCACACTTCTTGAAAACTGAGAGACTGCTTACAAATGACTTTTCTTGGAACGAGAAATATCTGCCTGAGAACTTAGCACTGGTGTGTCGACCCTTACTTTGTACCCCAGCCGCTGGAGTTCGTGGCTATCTGCCTCCGCACAGCCAGCGAAAGAGAGGAGGAATAAGTTTGTGTTTGTTTTTGTTGTGTTTTTTTTTCCCCTGCTGCTAACTTTTCCCAGAAACTTTTAAAAAGTAGTGCGTGGAGTGAGGTGGGGGGCAGTGCGTCGTCGTGGAGCCCTTCGCTGGCGCCAGGCGCTGCTGGGGCAGAGGAGGTGGTCCCGGCGCGTTGTGGTGGGTCGCGCACTTGACGGACGGCACCGAGCTTCGGCCTGGCCTCTGGCCGCCGGCTGGCGGCTGGAGGTGGGGGAGGGGGG